TTTTTCTATTCAAGAAAATGGCCAGTTGTCGGTGTTCCCATTTTAAAATTGTGCCCGAAGATAAGGTGTTCCGTCTGTAACACATCCGAGGTGGTGACCTCCTCCAAAATTTCAAGTGGTAATTCAACTGTAGCTCGATCTCGCAAAGATATTTATCATTACCCAGCTCCTCTGTAGCCTTTGAAGTCATCCCCCTAATTGCTCATCCCTCAGAGAGCCTGTCTTTATTGTCCCACAATCCACCACCCTCCCCTCTGTTGTCCCCTCATTGTCCCAACCCTACACTTTGTTGTCCCTCGTTGTCTAAGTCCTCCATTTCAATTACGCTTGCTACCTGCCCCTCCAAACACCTCCCTACTTGTTGTGACCTCGTTTCTAGCCACCTTTAAGATACCGTACCTCCCAGCCACATCCAACATGTTGTCTCCCCCTTTCGGCCCCTACAAGCTATTGTTGGCCCTCTTTCAATCCAAACAACTTACTGCTAAATTCGTTTTTAGCCACCTCCCACCTCCCTCCATCCCCTTCCCGCCACCTCCCACCTACCGCCATCCCCTTTCAATCGCCTACCGCTTGCCACCACCCTTCCAGCCACCTCCAACGAGCTTTAGTTACTAATACTCCTTAAACTACAGCACTGTTGTCTTCACCCTCAGCCCAAATTGGGTCGCGTAGTATCCTTATTGTTTTCTAGTTTCAAGCATCTCTAAATGTAACCTATATTTGTTTTTGAGTAATAAAATTTACTTTCCTATTGGGATTTGGGTTAACTCTAGTATCAATCAGTATGTGGGTTGGCTGTCAATCTGAATTGAAGCTTAGTATCACGCTTTCCTCACAAGACTCTCTAGAAGTGACTCAAGAACTTGACATCCCTATCAAATGTGAGGACTTGGAGATCTCATGTTGTCTAACAATCTCCCTGAAGTACAAATCAGTGACTTCAGATGCGTCTAGCATTTAGTGGCACGACACAAAATAAGCCATCTTCGAGAATCGATCAACCACGACCATCACTGAGCCCATGCTCCGCTATGTCCTCAAAAGCCCCACCACAAAATTCATGTTGACATCAACCCAAGGGGCTTCTGGTACCGATAATGGCATGTATAGCTGTGTTTTGCCTTCTTGTCTTGGCTAGGCAGCAAACTCTGTACTATCGGATGCACTTTTCCACACCTCTCATCAGTCGGAGACAAAAAAAAAGTTCTTCGCTTTGTGTGAGGAGGGTATTGTCTCTGTCAAAATGACATGCAAGTCCTCCATTGTAACTCTCCTGGATGATGGCTTCTCTCAACGAACATATTGGAACACTCAATTTGCTTTGGGGAAACAGATAACCATCTTCCCTGCGGTATGATCCAGTGGGCCTATCCTAATATTGATCCAAATTTTTCCTGAAATCCTCATCTATCTCATATAGCTCCTTCACCACTTCAAATCCCACAACTCGAACCTGCATGGAGATAGTCAACAAGTGGCGCTGACTCATCGCATTTGCTACAAGATTATAACTCCTGGCATTATGCTTGAGAATGACCTAGAACGATGTTGGGAATTCCGCACAAGAAGCGTGTCTACTCTTCAACTTGCTCTAGCTATTTAAAAACCTCGGGGCTTCATGATCCGTGAATCGTTTGAACTTCCTCCCTCGACAGTAGGCAATTACTCCAGTGATTAAGAGCCCACACGATGGGATAGAACTCATTGACATATGTCGAATACTTTCCCCTAGCCTCGTTCAACTTCTAACTGAGGAAAACTATGGGATGTCCTCGACGGCGCAACGTTGCTCCGATCCCCACATTGGACATGTAGCACTCCACTTTGAACAACTAATTGAAAGTTGATAAACCCAGCACCAGAGCTTGTGTCACCTTCTCCTTCGATGTGTAAAAACTGGACTAGGTTGCCTCGGTCAACAAGAACCTCTCTCCTTTCAACGGCTCTGTCAACGGAGCAGTGATGATGTTGAAATTTCCGATAAACCTTCTGTAAAATAATAATAATCTTAGAAACAGTCTCAACTCGATAAATTGTTGTGGGGATGTCCAAGTCGCGATAACTTCGATCTTCGTGAGATCCATCTACATATTGGCCTCATATACAATGTAACCCAAAAAAAGGACAGATCTTGGGTGTCAAAAAGTGGCACTTCATCAAGGGGGCATATAGCTTTTCCGCTCATAGAACCTCAAATACTAGTCCCAAATGTTGCAAGTGTTTCTCCTTCAAACGGTTGTAGACGAGGATGATGTTGAAGTAAATAAGCGTGAACTTCCTGCTGTAGCCCAGAATAATTAGTTCATCAGCCACATGAATGTGTTACGAGCATTATACGGACAAAAAGGCAGGACTGTCCACTCGGAAGCCCATCACCGATCTTGCAGGTTGTCTTCCACTCATCTCTTAGCCTCATTATGAACTGGAGATATCCAATGCAAAGATCGATATTAGAAAAAATATAAGCCCCACTCAATTGATCCAAATAGATCGTCAAGGCGCGGTATGAGAAATGTGTACTTCATGGTGATTATGTTAATAGCTTGACTATCAATGCACATCCTCCACAACTCATACTTTTTAGGCAACATTAACACAAGAAAACCACGCAGGCTGGTGCTCTCTCTCTCAAATCTCCTTGCGATGAGATCAAGTATCTGTCGTTGCAACTTCTCATACTCTGCTAGTCTCAGTCTATAGGCAAACCTACTTTGTAACACTGATCCTCAAAAAAGATTAATGGCATGATGAATATCCTCTAGTCGAACGTCGGTCATCATAGCCCAGAATTCGACTAGCATTGGCTAGATTATTTATGTTTTCTTTGACTATTCTCAGTACCTTCTCTATGATGTGCATATATTGTGCTACAGAATCCTTAATGGGCAAGAGAATGATGTGCTTCCCTTCGTGAACGAATAAGCATTCTTGAACCAATTATGCTAAGTCTTGCGATCAAGCTACAACAGCCTTCTCAACAGAATGTGGTAGACATCCATCATGCAGTTGGTTTCCAATGAAAAACTTTACCAGATACTGCCAATCCACTCTATCTTGTTATCATTTTTCAACCAGGTCAAAGAATATGATTGGGCATGTTTTTGCATTAGCCAAGTTCAACTTCTTTACCATGATATTGAAGACCACATTCTCAAAGCTCCCTCTATCAAAAGTGAGACTGCACACCTTCCCTCTCACGGTACACCTAGTGCGGAAGGTGTCATGCCTCGACCACGAATGCTCTTTTTGGCGTTCAATCTACAGCACCCTCCTCACGATGAGCATCTCACCCAAAACTCTCTGGAGTGCTTATCTTTCTCTTTCAAATCACACTTCAACTTGAGTTGCATGAATATTGTCGTTCATTCCACCGGATAGCTTCTTCTGCTACACGTAGTGATGTTTCATGTAATGTCGCCGCATCGCCTTTTTCATCTTCTCCCATGAAGTGATTTTGTTTCATCCTTCTCTTTGTCTCTCCCTCTTCAAGTTATCCAACTATAAAGAGGCATTTTCATCAGCTTATTGGCGGCGAGCTTCCCCCTTTGTAATTGGGCAATTTCTTATATTAAAAGATCCGCTCAACAGTCTGCATCCACTTGAGCAAATAATTTGAATTCATCCTCCTGTCAATGTCTGTATGTCCACCATAACTCCTAAACTTTTGTGCCTTCTAGCATGCAGTTCCTATCTCGGCCTCCTCTGATAGTGGATTTTGAAATGCTCGAGTTGATTTTCCTCTTCATTGAATTCATCCCTACAAAAGGAGTTCAATTGTACTTCCTGCTCTCCTCCACAGATCTCATTATTATGGTTGACGGTGACCTCACCCATGATCATCTAAGTGAAGTATTTGTTGTATGTTGCCCACGGTAAAGTCCTTATCAGGTTCTGACATTTTCCTTCTCGATGGCATGGTTAGAGTTTAGTGGTGGATAGGTGGAAGGAGGTGTGCAGGGTGTGGATTTATTTTTTTTTTTTTTTTGGAGAGGGGAAGGGGGAGATAGACTTGTGAATGGAGAATACTAGAAACTCTAGGATATGACTATGATAAAACGAGCTTTAATGCCGAAGTTAGCCCAAATAATAACAAAATAATTATATTATTAAGGAAAATCACATAGGGAATTACAAATAATTAATTGAAATGGGAAACAACAAGGACAAGAACAAGACAATCGTAATGAGAATGGTATCGCAATGTGGTGACTGGTGGAGGGTGATTGTAGTTTGGCGGTATGAAGAGGTGAAGTATGGGGGAAGCAGCATGGTTGGTGGATTGTTGCGGTGGGCTGAAGGGTGAAGCAGGTGGCTATGGATAGGGGCCAGTGAAGATCAAGACTGCGGTAGTGAGGTGGTGGTTGATCAGAGGGGAATGTCGACTGATTGTCAAGTGCAGGTACGGGATGGGGAGGCCACCGATAGGACAGCAGCGGAGTCTTGGAAGCAAGCTTGTCTGGAGCGGGAAAGAAGGTTGGGGGCCAACAAAAGGAAAGAAAAGGAGACGACCGCGGGTAACAGGAAAGAAGTTATGAAGGATGAGTGTGAGGATGATAAGGAAGAAAGAAACACATCGTTGGAGAACGAGTTACAGTTAAAGCCCCTTCTCATCACCAGATACAGCCCTCGAAGGGAACATGAGACGTTGAAGCTCTCGATAGAAGGAACAAGAAAAATTAAACTCGAAGACAAACGACGATACATAAATAGCGAAGCAAGGCGTCTTTTTCGGAACTGGGAGGGTCGATTGACCGGTTCAGGTGTTCGAGAGGTATGTGATTGTTATGTACCACGTTACACCTAGGAGACATACACTAACACTTTCTTTATAACTTTCCATAGCACATATATTTCAATAGTGGTGAAAAGAAAAATTGACACATAATGGAGATTCAAATGGTAAAACATTTAAATACAAGAATTAATGAATGCTCCTCTCATAATAAACAATATCATTCACATAAACGATAAGCATATCTAGATGATGAATGACTTACATTCTTGTGGTGGTAGCACTCGAATCGTCGTCCTTAACTCATGAATTGCAAATGGAGGAGGAGCTGATGTTGGGCAGCAGTATCCAGTGTGCATGAGAACTAGCATACAAGACAAGGAGATCATCATACATATAAATGAAGTGCAACAGAAAAAAAATTATTTCAGCTCGACTAAGAGAGCACCTGCAACAAGATCTGAATCATTTGTATATACATCCGTTCCCCAAAGTTGTGCACCTCTGACCTGGAGTTATTGGACAATAATAACACCCTCAATAGGAACATTTGCAACAAATTAACATAATGCAAGCATACTCCAAAATTCTATTTCAGTTAACTCTGTGAACACTGTCTGAAACGACTCATTACTTACAATTAATAGATTAAACTATGTTTACATCATGAACAGAAAATTCCTCTAAAACTAAATATGGACTGAGAACAAAAATTAATATAATGATCCAGTGTGCATATTGTACAATGCAGAAACGTAATTTCTTATTTTAATGAGCTAGGATAATTTGCATTACTAAAACAAGGTGGAGACCTTACCATAATGGATGTAAAGAATGGGCTTAAAGTATACTGTTACCCAAACCTTGGGACTATAGTACAGTTCTTGATAAATAAGGAGTTAAGATATGCTAACGAACCAGGAAAAAGTATAATGATGGGCAAAAGAGCTCAATCAAAACATTCTCTGCAGCATTGGAGACCAATACAATGTTCTCCACTATGAGTAGAGCCTTGACAGGACGTTCTCCATTATGAGTAGAGCCTTGACAGGAAAGAGCGTACTGTATCATCCACGCCCACTTGAGTCTTATAAATTTGACGAAACCAAGATATCTTGAGTATTCACAAGTTATGAGTGGAACCACTTCAAGTATAACTTGTCATTTTACATTTGCCCGACTGTTTTCCAGACGGACAGCTGCAAGACTACTGTTCCTGCGTCCGAATTGCTGTCCAACAGCAATTTTTCACCATTTCTCAACTACCGTTGTCATTCCCACTTACATTCCTCATCTCACAACCATCCTAACCCATTTACTAGCCATTCCACTCCGACTAGTTGCCATAGTTCGGTGTTATCTGATATCAGAATTGGGCAAACTCTAAATTTTTAGGGATTTTTCTTCTTTGCTCCTAAACAAAAAAGTACGAATAACCTAAAGCAATACCCCCACTAAAAATTATCTCATCATTCACGTAACCCTAGTTATCACCCTAACCCTAACCCTAAACCATCATTCCTTTTCAGCCAAAATTTAAGCGAAAGAAGGAGACGCCAAGCAGCCAAAGAGAAACGCTCAATGAGATGTTCGAGAGCTTACTATGGAAGATATATTGTGGAAAATCCTCTAATTACAAAAATGGCTTGTTGATTGTAAAATGATGCAACATAAGGAAGTCACCCACGGCAGGAACGATGAACACCCAAATGGAGGAGAGGAGGTAAACCCTTTTCATCAAGAAACATCAAGTGACGAAAAAGTGTTGCCAAGTCAGTTTTGAATTGAGTATAGGAGAGAATGTGACTTTGGAGTAAAGATAGAATAATCAGATTTTGACATTCACATGAATCTGCACGAGTACGTTGAGTGTCTCCAAATAATGGAATAGATCTTTGAGTGCTAGAGTGTTCCGCCTGCAAAGGCGTAAGGCTAGCCACCACTAAGTTAAATAAAAGTATGTTTATATGATAGAAAAATTTGAAACGCCTGCGTCATCTTAAAGAAAAAAAGTAAATAAGTACATGAACCAAGATGAAAAATGAGAAGCAATGCAAAGCCATGACAGAGGTTCAAGACACTTCACCACTTACACCCAAAAAGTCTCTTAGTAGAGGAGTACATTGTTAAATTTGAACAGTTTATGTTGAAATATGAACTGATGGAGCCAAAAAAAAATATTATAGCCCAATATTTTGGCGAGTTAAGATGTCCATTGGCAACGTGGTGTAGCTACAACACTATTAGACGTAATACGATGTTCAGACCTTAATCTTGAAGATGGAAAGATGGCACAGTAATTCAAGTCCACACCACTCATCAATCAAGGATCAATTATTGGGTGGAGCGATAGGAGCACACTGTCAATAGTACCCCAAACTCGCTCCTTGTAACAAAAAACCAATACAAGAGAAAATGATGATTTATCAGATCAACCTTCCCAAAACATTGCCCATCTAGAAGTGCTTCAAATGTCATGAGTATATGCACATTGCATCCAACCGTCTAAATAGAAGAGTGATTTCTCTTATTAAGCAGAGAGAAGAGGAGACAAAAATGAAGACCCAAGAGAGATGCACAACTACACAAAGAAGAAGGTGAAATGCTACTCGTTCGACGAGTTCTCCTGATTCAACCTAAGTGGAATCAACATTGGTTGAAGCATAACGTCTTCTATACCCGTTGTAATATGAAAGAAATAAGTATGCAATTTTATTATAGATGGATTTATTTGTGAAAATGTGGTATCTATAACAATAGTGGATAAGTTAGGCCTTACCAACAAGAAATATTCTCATCGATATTCCCTAACTTAGTTGAAGAAAGGAAGAAACTAGGTGCCTGGTAGAATTTTCAATCCAATAATGCTACAAGCCGGATTTTGGTATAATGTTATGTCTATCAAATTTTAAAAAGGCGAAACTGGGAACCGAAGCATTTTCTCTTAGCGAGACCTAAAATTACAAGCATATGGTGACTCAATAGTACACCATGAAGGAAAAGGATTCATGTAGACGGCCGCAATTAGTGGGATAAAGGCTTGTTGTTTTTGTTGTTTTTGTTGTTGTTGTTGAGATGAGGTGTAAGACTCATGGCAGATCAAGGCTTAAGCCTCAAAAAAAGAAGAAACCTCAAAAAATTAAAAAATTTCATAAACATGGCATAAACCATTAATACATTAATTTAGTTTGTTATTATAAATACATAAACAACAAATTATAATCTCAAAAATTGATATAAAATAAAAGTTTGAAATATAAATCTAACATGCACTTAACATTTAACTATTCTATAAGGTTCGAGGTCCTTAGTAACCTCATCATTACTTCATTATTTTCAAAAAAATTATCATATTTATTTATAATTAAAGTTAGTCTTATTAGGAACTTTAAACCATTTTCATTCACTACAATTTTTTCTAATTATTAATTAATTTGAAATCCAACATAATTTATAATAAACAAATAAATTAATAACAAGATCTTGTAATCAAATTTAAATTATTTTTTGAACATTTTAGGGATTATATCAGATAAATAAAATAAAATGAATATATTGTTATTATTATTATTATTATTATTATTATTATTATTATTATTATTATTGGTGATGTCTAAAACTCCTCGAGCATTATTCCTCAAGTCGTAAGCCTTGGATGAAGAAGGCATAAGCCCCATTGGTGACAGTGAGGCTTAAACCTTGAAGTTTTCTTGTGCGCCTCAATTTGAAATGCGCCTCAAGATGTAAGCCTTTAACATTTTTTTAAACAATGATGCCTATGAATACGTCAAATTTTTTTGGACCAACCATGATAGTAGGAGTATACTTCATGATAGTCAAAAAAATACCTACTTTTTTCTCAATGCGATAAGCATAATGTACTCCTATCATTCAATGGATCAATAATAATGAATACTCAGACAGAGACATGATTTTGCATCCAACGCCACATTTCTACAAGCTATAAGAGAAGCAATAGTAAAGTGGCCTCAGAGATGTCGATACCTAAGGCAGTGCGACCCTTACTAGAGAAGTTTAATGATGTTTAAGTAATAGTTTTCCACCTAGATTGTCACCCCTACAAGAGATTCAGATGCTATTGAACTTATCATATGATCAGTGCTCCCCAACCGACTAGCCTACTAGGTGTGATCAGCATTGTATGAATTACAGAAGCAGGTTAAGGATTTGATGGCCCTAGGACTAGTTCGCAAGAGCACCTACTCATGTGCTGAGTCAAGTTTGATTGTGCCCAAAAAGGATGGATTGTTACACGTGTATAGACAGTAAGGCAAAAAATAAGATTGCAATCAAATATCGATTGTGTGTTTTGATATTAGAAGATTTGCTTGATCAATTACATAGACCCGATATTTTCTCCCAAATTGATTTGCACAATAGTTAACAACATATCATAATGAGAAAACATAATGGGTGGAAGACAACCTTCAAGACAAGAGATGGACTGTATGACTGAACAATCATGCACTTTGCCCTGTCCAATGCACCGAGCACTTTCATACAGCTAATGAATCAGATCTTCTGAGCCTTCATTGAAACATTTGTGGATGTATATTTAGATAATATTGTCACGTATAGTCATTCATAGGAGAATTTGCAGCATTTGCAATATGTGATTGTTGTTCTCCAAACAATGTAACTATATAGCTACCCAAAAAAATTTACCTTTTTTACACCGTAGCCATGCTATCGGTCTCTTTTCAAGCAGGATAGCCATCGGCATCCTTTTTCCTCCATTCTAGGGCATATACAAAGACGGGTGGTGGTCTGGCTGTAGCTAGTCTGAGGTGATATTCTTCCAAGGGCTCAAATGGTGCTCCGGCTATCGGTCTTTCCCAATTGAGTATTTATAATCGACATTCCCCTCCCCGCACCATTCCTTCGCAATCACCGCAGTTGACCGCACTGTGAACCCCACCGCAAAACTTCACTTTGTTGCTCCCCCCCCCCCAC